GGAGATTTGGAAAGAGCTGTGACTTCCTAAGGCAAAGTAAGTTGCAGTTAAAGTAATCCCATTGAAGTCAATGGAATGTAGGGAGGAATTGACTCACTGAGTCTCCAAATTGTTTAAGATTAACATAAAGCTGTGGGGTAAAAATCCCAGGAAGTGGTAGAGCAAATCAAGCCTGAACTGGAGCCAAAAACATTGAAGCTGAGGCTGTCCGACTTCAGAATCTAGTATGCCTGGCTCAGAACTTGAGCTAAAGTGACAGAGAATTCTGATATTTTAAAAAGAACCAAGGGCTTCCCCCTTTGGTGTCCGGTGGGTTTTTATTTCAAGCAAATAAACCAAAATGCAGCCCCCCCCAACCTCTACAGATTATGTTAGCCTGCAGCTCATTGAAATTCTGAAAGAAATTGCCTTTCTGGGTATTTCCTGTTAAAATGCTGTAAGATTGCTCATTCTCTTGATATTTTAGTGAACAACAGAATGATGTCAACATGAAGATCCTGCTTCTGGGAAGGCAAAGGATTCTATTTAACTTCTGTCGGGTTGTCCTAAAGGAATTCTGCATGATAATATTTATTGCTTCTGGGAGACATTGTGGATGTGAATAAAAGGGGATTGGGCATTGGGCAGAGGCAGCTGTGAGTGCAGGTACCATATTTTATTGCAGTTGCTAAAGTAACAGCTTTCCTCCCTCTTCCAAAACAGCCGAAAGGAGACATAACAAAGATGCTTCAACTTACACATGCTGCACCTTTTCGTTTCAGCACTTTCCTCCAAATTGTCTTAATGAAATCTCTCCTTTGTCAATTCAAATGTATTGCTTTTTATGTATCGTAGTGGATGGTGTCTGTATGAAAGGTTGAGAAATGAAGCCCTGACTATATTTATTTTCTGATTTTAAACAGCAGGAATGCTACCCCATATTCTTCTAATATATTTTATTATCCATTATGCTTTATAGAAGCATCAGAGTCTGGTGGAATATTCATGTTTCTACACAAAACACACACACACAAAAAATGACTGCCTCATACCAAAGTATATAACACTGATTCCTCTGCGCCTGATTACCTTTTCCTGAGGACCATCAGCTAAATGTATGAACTGACTTCGTTGAAAAGCATTGTGCTGGAGCCAAAATGACCTGACATACAAGTTCTGTCTCTGGCTTTAGATGTTTGATGGACGATTCACACATACAGAACATGGCTTTATGCTACTCAACAAATAAATATTATGCATGTGTAAATAAGAATGTCATGAACCTTAAAAATGATCTGTCGCATAAGGTAACACAGCTTTACTGGATTAATGAATGGGGACTTCATGTCATTTCTTACATTATCGCTTACAATGTTATAGCATATGTTTCCCATTCTCTCAGGGTGACATGAAGAGCACCAAACCAAGTCCAAAGAAGTCCTATTCCAGGTAGTGCAAAAAAAAAAAGGCCTTTTCCTACTAAATTGAGCATTACCTCCAAAAGTTTGGGCCATAAGAACTGTAAGATTAAGTCTCCAAACTGTCGTTCTCTCTCTTTTCATTCTGGTCCACACTGATCTAGAGGAAAAATGGTGGGTTTGACAATGGGTGGTGACATTCAGTGATAGGGGGAAGTTAATGGGACTAAGTGGTTGACATCTAATCACTCTGATAGAACTGAATTGTCTTTTAAAGCTGCCTGGGTGCTTTAATATAAAATGTTTGCAAGCAAATACAATGGGCAATGTAGGATGAATACATATTGGCCAAAATCCTATTCCACAACTATGCGCACACAACTGAAGATTATGCCCATGGTAGTTCTGCTAGAACCAAGACAGATGTGCTGTCCCTGAAACACTTCTGCTGGTGCATTGCGCAGTTGGTCATGCTAGGGATGTGCAACTGGTTGCACAATTCCATAGTGCGATTCCTTGTTGCTGAGCATAACACCCAGCATATTTATCATGGAATAACTTTACACTAGCATTAACAGGATACTGGCCATGACATATCATACTCTAATATAGAGAGCAGACAAGGTCAACTCTAGGATAAGTAATACTGTGAGCAAGGAGTGTCTTCAAAGATTGCCTCCTGACATGGTCAGCTTGGCAAAGCTATACAGGAGTGGATGGTGACTATGGCAAGTGTGATCCTGAGGGCACTGCTGCTGCCTTCTACAAGCACCCATGTGGGAGAGGCATGCAAATAGTTTCATGTGAGAATTATTGCACTGATGGAAAATATTTGTGGACTCTCACTTGCAGACCTTCCTTGCCCTGGGATCAGGAAGGATGATAGACCATCCTACATTTTCCTTATGGAAAATCATTATAAGGATAAGGAAATACTAATTAATGATGCTTCTTCCTAGTAAAGGTAAGGTAAAAGTTCTCCTTGACATTTAGTCCATTCATGTCCGACTCTAGGGCGCTGTGCTCATCCCCGTCTCCAAGCCATAGAGCCAGCGTTTGTCCGAAGACAGTTTCCATGGTCATGTGGCCAGCGCGACTATACACTGAACACCATTACCTTCCCACTGGGGGC